TGTTAAATGGTTAACCGATATAATTGTTAATAGTTTAAACAGGTACTTTTTTAAATGATATTTACATCCCTACTTGCAATCACGTAACATCAGTGGGAAAAACGACAGGAATTTTTTGTATGCAAAAGCAACAATAAGAAGGTATTTAAATATTTATGTTTACTATAGTTTAATAGCTAGAAACAAGGAGAGTCAATGCCACATGACAAGCCAGATCTCCAGGTTCCAGTAAGTGCTCTGCAGACAATCCCCACTCATTTGCTATGTAAGAAAATAGTTTATACTATGCAGAACTCTATCTTTAGTGGCAAAATTTGGCAACTAAAAATTGTTCTAAACCATAAATTAGAAATGGAAGTTCTCAACTTACCTTAGTGTTCTTACAAGATCTTCCTCGCTTATATTCTTTATGACTTACTCTTTTATCAAGCTTGTTCCACAAAGCTTTGGCCTTCCAGCTGGTTACCTTTGACTTCAATTTAGTATAGAAATTTCTGTAGTCCAATGGATCTAGTTCAAGTTGACGGGTGAGGATATTAAAGGCCTGAATGGTACCTTTGCATGTTGATGCTTGTACAAAGTTTTCAAATATCTGGCCACCGTGGCTGTGCTTTTCATCATCGTTTTCCCCCATGTTCTGAGCAGTGTGCGTAGAAAGGACTAAACTTGAACTGTGGTGCTCTGATACTGGTGACAGACACTATCAAGTACTTCCAAGAATATTATACCTAGAAAAGAAAGTCAAATTAACATATTTTCAACATAATGAAGATCCAAAACCTACAAATCATATTTAAAACCAGCTAGATACAAGCATGCAGAAATGAAAAGCTCTCTAAATGAGACAAAGTGCAGAATAAAGTTAGTAATGGCATGAAATATACCAATTGCAGAAATTATAAATAAAATTGTGCCACCCCTGCAATGAGGATGTTGTGAAAGCCAAGACTATAACAGGGTTCAAAAAAGAACTAGATACATTCATGGAGGAGAGGTCCATTACTAGCTACTCGCCAGGATGGGCAGGAATGCAAAACCATGCTCTGAAGCATCCCTAGCCTCTGTTTGCTAGAAGCTGGGAATGGGCAACAGGAGATGGATCATTTGATTATTACCTGTTCTGTTATTCCCTCTGAAACACCTGGCATTGGCCACTGTCAGAAGACAGGATACTTGGCGAGATGGACCATTGGTCTAATCCAGTATGGCCGTTCTTATGTTCTTAATACTAGGCATCAGTTTATTTCATAATGACCATTATAAACATGCTTAAAAACTCAAGTTTCAAGGACAACTCAGGTTTCAGAGTAGCGGCCGTGTTAGTCTGTATCCGCAAAACGAACAGGAGTACTTTTGGCATCTTAGAGACTAACAAATTTATTTGAGCATAAGCTTTCGTGGACTACAGCTCACTTCTTCGGATACATCTGTAGTTAGTCTCTAAGGTACCACAAGTACTCCTGTTCGTTTTAAGGACAACTCATTCTCCCTAAAACACTATCACATTTGTCTAATGACAATCATTTTGGGCCTTACTCCACTAGCTAGCAATCGATACCTTTCTGACAACTTCACACACACAGTAATTCCTCAGAAGCATCCCTCAACCATAACTGTAGTCAGAGCCTTGTATCTCTGGGAGTTGGCCATAAGTCAACACTACATTATTTTAAAGAAAGATGTCCAATTACAGCTAGGGCATTGGTATACAACTAACCCAGAACAACTTAGATTCAGCATGAGGAGCCTGTTCATCTTGTCATCAGTTGCATCACATCTTGTTACTCCAAAACTGAAATTCCAGGAAAAGGGGACCTATTTCACTCTTCCAACCCCCATGTGAACCACGCCCGAATGAAAAAGAATCTAGTACTCTCCAGTATAAGGGAGGTAATCCTGCATTCTTTGCACATTGTTATTTAAAATGATTACATTCATGTAATGAGTAATTCATGTTCTTCATGGTCAAACCACATGCAGTATTTAGGACAACTACTATTGAGCTGTGAGAAGAGAAAGCTACTCTAATTAGTGTACATTTTAAAGTACTAAAATAACTTTGTAGGGCCACTCCCAGATCCTACTTTAACCCCTCATTCTGAATTTCAGACACTCCCCACTAAAGTCATACCAGGTCAAAAGATTTAGATTCCCAAGTTCTTATTTTTCCCCCAAGAGAATTAAGATGGATTATTTAGCTGTTTACAGTTGGAGAGAGCTTACCTGGATTCAAGTCCAGAGTTTTAAATGGGGCCAGTCATATTCCCTTCTTCCTGCTATTAAGGAATTACCTACCATTCCAAACACAATACCAAACTGAGGCTTGTTTAATCTCCCACATAATTAGTTATTTTACTTGGACCCCCATCAGTTGGCTTTTAGATTTAAAATAAATTGTTAGAAGGGCCTTTGCAGATACACTTTTAATTTAACATTGTTCACAAACCATTCATTCTCTACCCATGTTTACTTCAAACAGAAAGGGAAGCCAAAATAATCAATGTATTTAAATTAAGAGGAGACCCATCACATAAATCTTGTATTCTTTCAACATGAATGAATATGGGCAACCTATAAAAGCCTCCTGTGGGAAGAAACAGAGAAGCATTTGGAATGCTTACATTTTGTGGCCATGCTTAAAATAAATAATCTTTGCTTTTACATCATTCTGTTGCCATTTTAGGGTATAATAAATTTCCAGTGTTGAGAGTTTGTACCTTTTCTTGGACCTAGGGCCATGATTAAATACTTGTTGCCAAAAATAAGTTAGGCAATTTTGTTTTCCAGTCTGAGTTCCTCATTTGTGGTATGTTCCCTCTTCGTTTGTGAAGGGCTTCATGAAGCAAAAAACAACCTTTCCCTTGCTCCATCTCTCAGAGGCTCTAATCTTGCCAGGAACTGAGTGCTTCCATTCCCATTCAGCACCTTTGAAGGTTCAAGCCCACGGTGATTAACTGTTAACTTCTCAAAATACATCCATGATGTATGAAAGTCAGCATAAGGAAACCAATGAAAAGTAAAGGATGAGTGATATAGCTATAGCCACCCACTTAGGGCATGTCTACACTTGCCATTTAAAGTGGAAAAAGTCCCCTTTTTGCGCAAAAACCATGGGAGCATCTACACTTGCCAATGACTTTTTGCGGTGAAACTCGGAAGTTTCACTGCAAAAAGAAAACCACCTCCACAAGAGGCGTACAGCTCTTACCGGTGATGCTTTTGCTGTGAGGTGCAAGTGAAGATATGTTCTTCCTGTTTACAGAGCTTTTAGCCTTCACAGGATATCCCACAGTGCCTAGGTGACCACTCTGGCCAGCAGCTCTGACGCCAGGTAAACAGACATCCACCCCTCCCCCTGTAAAGCCCCAGGAACTTTGAAACTCCCCTTCCTGTTTTCTTGGCAAGTTCTCACTTATCTGGCCAGGTGACAATGGCTGCTCCACGGAGCAAAGGCTCTCCTGCTTGGAGCAATGCTGAGCTACTGGAGCTGATCAGTGTTTGGGGAGAGGCGGCTGTGCAGGGACCTAGGATGCCCTGTGATACCCCTCCACCCCTTCCCACAAGACCTATAATCAAAATGGAGAAAGCTGCACTGAGGGCAGCTCTCACCGGGGATGGAAGTGCTGCAAATATAAACACTCTCTGATGCCTGTGAAAGTGAGTACACAAACCAGCGCTCTTCTTTCACCGGTTCACTATCCCCATTGAAACGGACAGCACAAAAACTCTGCAAGTGTAGAAATAGCCTATTAAATTTGCTGGCCTCTGCCAGAGTTACCGTTTCCTGCAGCAAAAACCTGATAACTTCAGAAAAACGGGGAATGGTCAATGTGCCACCATAGCCACCAGTAACTCCTTGTCCGAGCAGTCACCAGGATATCTGGAAGAAGCCCATCCACAAGTCTTTATATCACACCATGCACTGACACTTTCAGACAGCACTCCAGAGCACCTAAACCATTAGTGCTTTGATTTTCTAGAGGGCTCCAATCAAAAGGAAAGACACTTTCCTGCCTTCCACGGACTCTTGGCTCCTAGCAAGCAGAAGACATCAGCCTCTAAGAGAGATATACAATAAAAGAAAATAAAAGTTTGGTGCGTGGCCCATCTACAGAGCTCCCTTGAATTGGGGGGGGGGGAGCTCTTATAGCCAAGAGAGTCCCAACCAAGTTTTCATTCCATCTGACTTTTTTAAGGTTGAGGAGGATCTTCCGACTTCCTCCACCTTTTATGCACTCATGGGCCCTTTGTCACAGTAACACTCACTCCAGCTGAAGGGGGCAGGATTCTAGTCTAGTCTAGTAGCCCATCCACAGCATTGCAAACACTAGCTGAGTTGGAATGCCAGAGGATTTTAATGTGGAGGAGGGGAAGGCGGCAGGGGAGGGGTTGTTACATCAGCCTTGAGTGGTATTTAAGCATCCTTCATCCAAACACCGTGTGACTACAGCATGGCTAGGGATCTTCAGGAGGAGAAAGAGGGGAAGGATCTCCAGCAGATGGGACTAGTCATTCTATGCAGCATGCCTCCTTCCTAATAACCACTTGGAAAACTCCCTCTAAAAATGCCATCAGATAAGCTAACAACATTTACGTACCCTCTGTGCTTTCTACCATCACTTTGCAAAGGAAAGGGGAAGAGGAGGAGTGTAAGGCATTGGCAGGGTAGTGGGAGTCAGTGGCAGCATGACTCAAAAAGAAACCATGCTGTTGATAAGAGAGATAGGATATCAGAAGCCGTACAGATAGGAAGCCCTTTTATGAAGGCAGAAGGACTCCTGTCCCCTTCACATAGCCTTGAGTGGAAGTCGTGAACGCCATAAGGTGAGGCTTGTCCATTGCCCCGACTAACTCCCTCCACCCCCTTTCTGTGGGGCTATTTCAAAGGAGGAGAGCCGTTAGGCCAGTCGGTTTCCAAAATAATGCTAAAACTATTTAATATGAACAAAGTGAAATCTCAGCAGAGATATTTGCTCACTGTCTGATTTTTTTTTTTTTAAATTGTGTCAGAGGTCAAGTTCTTCACAAAAGCCACAATTTGTGGTTTGAAGGACATGAGGCGCAGGAGACTCTGGTTACTGTGAATTCCAGATTGCTACTGAAAACACCATGGCTCTATTTTTGGCATGAGCATTATGTTGACCGATGACAATGATGAAGAGAGTGCATGGAAGAGGAAATGCTGATGCTCTCCAGAACTGCTATTTCACTGGGACAATGCACACGTTGAGCTCACCAGAAATGATGCAATAAAGTCTGTCCACTGGGGTTGAATGGAATAATTCCTAACCACAGATAAATGCATCCAATTCAGTACCATCTAAAATGCTTTTAAATGATTTAAGAGGAAATAAATACAAACTCCACCAGCGTATAGGGAAATATTTGATTTCAGACTTGCCTTGTGCTTGGATGTACCACCACTTATAAATTTATGTTTTTAAAATGCAAATCATTCTGGAGATGAAACAGAGTTGAAAGTCCCAAGGGCACATGTTGTTGCTGAAATCTTAGACTATATTACCCAAGTGATTCTGGAAACATTGAAGCACATAATTGTATCTTTATCTAGGATAATGTAAGTTAATATAAAGGCTTACCTAAATATATAAGATAAATTTGGGGCATGGTAATATGTGGGAATGTAAGTTTGGGGTTTTGTCTATTTGAGAGTCAGAACCTCCACTGCCTTTAGTGATTTTGGGTCATGCCGAAGACTGGGAATAGT